GGCAGTTAATCCTCAATCACTGTCTCTTTTTATGTTCCCATGTTGAGGCCCCCTGGTTCTGAGCACAGTGCTAATCAGATCAGCAGCTCAGCTGCTTGGGTCTCTTGTAGGCGTCAAGGATCTCCATTAAGGGAATGAGGAGGAATGTGTGAGAAGAAATTTTGTCCGAAGTGTGCAGATTGTGTATCTGATTCTCTCTGACGTTGATCACCGAGCTGTAAATGACAATGTGTGGATAGCTCAGTCTGATAACATGGCTACTGACTTCCCCAACTTCTTTACCAAAACACCTGTGAGGACAGCAGAGTGTGAGTGTGTTTTCTCGGGTATCTGTAGTTTAACCCAATTTGAAATCTTTAAACTCAAAATTTCCTGAAGGTATTGTGCTATATTTTAAAAATTCACATGTTTTTTTTGGATCTTATAGCATAATATTTTTTTTTAATATAAAATAGTATTTTCAGTTACCATCTCCAGCTAACACTTGCTAGATGTTTACCAATCCCATTTCTGTTTCTTGGGCATACAGAAATTCTCGATTTCTGAGCATTTTGTGCAATTAGTAACATAGGGCCAATTGATTAGATTCCAGGCAATGGGATGTGGGCGGCTGTGATAAAGGCCTGGTCATAAAACTTAAAAAATACACAGTTGCGGGGTGCCTGGGTAGCTCAGTCGGTTAAGCATCTGCCTTTGGCTCAGGTCATGATCCCAGAGTCCCAGGATTGAGTCTCACATCACGCTCCTTGCTCAGGGGAGTCTGCTTCTCCCTCTGCCCTTCACCCTGCTTGTGCTCTCTCTCACTCACTCTCCTTCCCTCTCTCAAATAAATAAATAAAATCTAAAAAAAAAAAAAATACACAGTTGCCCATGCTTTCTCTTTCCCTTCCAGGGTGACCATGGAAGTTATGCATTTAGTATGATAGTGACACAAGATGCAAAGAGCCAGGACCCGGGAATCTCCACCTGGGGGAGAGGGCCCGATGTACAGCGTTCTGTGACTTGGACAAGAAATAAATTTTTATTATGTGAAGTCACTAAGACATTAGGGGTAGCTTGTTACAGCAGCTATAGTATTTGTCCTGACTAATGCACCATGAGAACAATATTCTTCTGCCAACTGTACTCATCAAGGTGTAGTTTCATGAAGTTAATTTTGAGAATGGACTGAATTGAAGAATGACAACATTTTCAGATTTAGTATCTAGGCCATCTCTCTCTTCTTTCTTGCTGCTGCAATACTTCTAGACCTCAAGATCACAAAAATATGTGGATACCAAAAATTGTTGTTCTTTTATTTCTTTCTTTTCCCCCAAAGTTCACTGAGTTCTATTAGAGTAATCATGAGAGAAGATGCCCAGAACACTGCAAAATTGCAATAGTTTGGGTTGAAATTTTGGCCAAGAGGTTAGGATTTAAAGAGTTTCTGACCTGTTGTCATCCTGTTAGGGTCTCATTTTTTATTGAAAGGTGATGACAAATGTTGCAATTTATTTTATGCTAATATGATCATTTCCATCCTTTACATAGTTGTCCCTCTTGTCCACAGTTTCGCTTTCCAGTGTTTCAGTTACCTGCAATCTACCATGGCCTGGAAGCAAGTGATCTTGACGCATGGTCAGAAGGTCAGAGTAGCGCACACTGTATCACAGTGCCTACATCATTCACCTCACTTCATCTTATCACGAAGGCATGTTACCATCCCACATCATCACAAGCAGGGTGACTACATTACAATAAGATATTTTAAGAGAGAGAGAAATTACATTCATATAATTTGTATTACAGTATATTGTTCCATTTTATCATTAGTTATTGTTGTTAATCTTTTATTGTGCCTAACTTATAAATTGAACTTCATCATATGTATGCATGTATAGGAAAAAATACATAGTATATATAGGGTTCAGCACTTTCCATGCTTTCATGCATCCCCTGGGGGTCTTGGAACATATCTTCCATGGATAGGTGGGGGTAGAGGAACTACTGTATTTTAAGAGTCTTAAAAGAGTCAATTATCACCATATTTATCAAACATAAATCCTAGGATTTGTAACACTTTCCTTTACAGAAGTTCTCAATATTTATTCCCAATTTTCTATGGCCATGACAAGAAAGAAACCCTTGAGGGCTCTCTTTTGCCATTTTCAGGCTTTGTGTATCCTAGACAATTCGCTTAGCCACTCATTCCACCAACAATCTCTCAGCAGCATTTCTCAAATTTTCATTATCCCCAAACTACTTAATGGCTTACTCAGTGTAGTCTTAGACCATTAATTCTAAGTGAATAGAAAGAGACATGATAAGTATTTAAATTATAAAAGAACATAATATTAATGGTAAAAATAATTGTTTCATGTCAGTGGAAGAAGGATGATCTCACTGCTAACCTTTCACTAAGCGTTGGCTCAATAATTCAAGCATTAGCTTCTACATGTAGTATGTTTCTTCCCTGCCTCTTTATTGTTACTAAATTGAAGGATTAAAACTAAAATTATGGATGATTGAGAATTCCAGCAAGTGTTTGATGGCTCCATCTGATAATTCTGGATATTCAGGTCAAATATGGGCCCAGAACTTAATGGAGAGATTTAATGTGTATAGGACCTTGAAAACGCTTAAATCCACAAGGGAATCAAAACCTGGTGGTTTGACTGGGTCTAGTTAGGGGTAGTGACAGATAAATTCCTAATCTGCTCTTTGATTACATTGCATTCTGTTGAACTATTCTTCATGTCTCATTGCAGCATCTTGATGTGGTTTTTAAACATATGCATGATTTCTTCACTTTGTTTTTTTCTAATGAGAAAGAGAATCTTCAAATATTGGGAATGAGTCCAATTCCTAGTGACCAAGGCATTTGGACTACAGCTTGTTTTGATTTGTTTTAATCCTCACACCTTATCTTCACCATTGAAAACTGGCAATGGTTCATCCCTGCGGTGATAAATTCAAGCTTGTCAAGATAATTGAGGGTATTACTGAGATGCCCCACATATTTGAAATGATAGAAATGATTTTTTTTTTACATGCCTTGCTTTTTATTCCAAATAAAAGAGTCCCGACTTCCAATAGGGTGAAACAACTGTTAGGGATACATAGAAACACAAATGCAATAAACATAACCAACACTGTTGGAGGAGAGGGGCAGAGGAAAAAAACCCAAGAGAAGGAAACTTTTCTCTAGCAACTACCTCCATCTTATAGATGTCAATAGTTGAATGAAAATAGGCTGCTTACTTCATTTATCAATGAAAACGTTTACTCCTAAAAAGCTATGACCTTCTGGTAGAAATGCTGTTAAGATTATTCCTCAGCTATCACTGTACTGTCTTAAGTCATAGCCTCCCTTTTTCAAAGTATCTCAGGATTTTGTAAACAAGAATATGGCCAAAATGCAATACAAGGAGATTGAAATTTGGAAAGCCAGGATGGAGAGCCTGAGTCGCAATAGCTGTGAGATCTTGATTTCTATTTAACCTCTTTTTCATCCAGAAAGATTACAAACAAAATACTTTCCGGTATTAAGTTTTTCTTAAGTCTATTAAATCTTCCTTCGTCGTGAATTGTCCATTATATTACTTCTGTTATAAAAAATTTCCCATTTGATTAAAAAAAAGGCACAAAACAGTAAAAAGGAACCACCAAATGAAAAAACCATGAACTCTAACCTGGATCTGCCACTTATTTGCTATTGATCTTAGGCAGGTTTGAAAAAATTTTTTTAATCAAACGGGGGTAAAAATGCCTCCATTTCGTATCTCCCATAGTTATGTGTATTCTGCAATATTTTCAACATTTTTTTATAAAGGCTTAAACACTTCTGTATTTTTAGATGAATAACTTTACACAAAAAGCTTAAAATGTGTGGCAGAAATAGGACAAAAATCAAATGTGAGTGATGGAAGAGTCAACATATAGATAAACTTCATATCCTAATAAGGAACTAAGGAATCCAAAACATTTTCGTGATACTATAAAAGTTATTTATTCACTATACACAGAACATGTCCCCTATAAAATGTACATGTAAATCACTAAAAAGTATAATCTGGTGAACATTTTCTCAATTACAGAACATACTAAATCAGTTGGGATAACAGCTCTCTGTCTGCCTCAAAATAATCTAATTATAGCACCCAGAGTCTCCTTTATATCTAATGCAAAGTTAAATACTTATTTTGGGGATTATTTCCTAATATGTGTTTGAGGAGGCAGAGTTAACAATTTAATATAACTCTAGTATATTACAGTCACTGCACAATAAATCAGTTTATTACAGATTAAAACATTTTTTCATTATTTGTATTAATGGGATGCAGAAATACTGGATACTTTTAAATGGCAGATAATCACAAAATTATCTTTGATAGTATTCTGGGTTTTATAATTACATTAAGATATGAATGGTGTAAAAGAGTTACGAATACACCTCAAAACAATGAGGCCATACTGTAATGATTCACTAGATTGTGCTCAGTAGACATTTATTAAATAAGTGAATTTTCTCCCCAATTACCCAGTACAATTTTTGCCCACAGTAAGGGCTCAGTAAATAAATGTTTGCTGAATATACTGACTTATGACAGAGGTGAGACAAGATGGACCCTCTTAGCTAGATGTCAAGTATTATAATTGGAATTTACCTGGGAAAGAGAACATAAGGAAGATGTAAACTGCACATGGCATACAAGTAAATAAACTCAGATGCCAACAAAGCAAATCATTAAGCAGAAAAACACTGGCACTGGAATAAACAAAGGCAAGATTTGCCAATAGCAAAAATGGAACTGATTTTAAGAGATAACCAAGAAAAAGTTTATATTGGACCATACCTTTTCTCACCCAATTCAGTTTGAGACAGACCAATAGAGGCACTGTAAGAGACTATGGCTGTCTTCCTTGATATTCAGACATCCTAGTTTCCATTCATTTATTATGAACCTGTTACCCATGAATCAATATAAACCTATTCAGATTTAGGGATTAGTTTCCACAAGTACAAAGTTGAATTTCCTTTTATTTGTCCTAAAATGCTTACTTTCAAACTTGAAGGGACTTCAATTATTCCATGTAGTTTCGATAACATTCTTTTATCTTTTCAGACCAGAGTCAAAATATTCGTACAGTATTCATACTGCAGCACCTTCCACCCACCCTTTGGTCGCTTGAACTGCCCTTCTTTGGTTCTTTTTCCGCTTTCTCAGATCTTTCTTGAAGTGTAGTAAGCAGACCTGTACTGGGTATTCCAGCTGCAGTTTGGTCTATCATTGTCGGAATGGCTTCTGCTACGCCGTGGTCTTCCAGCCGGTCTACTGTTTCTAGGACTATAAGATCTTCTATAGTTGTAATCAAAGGACCGGCTTCTTGATCTTCTTCTTTCATAACTCCGGCTTCTAGAACGTCTGTATCTGTCATAATCATCATAGCGTGAAGAGCTGTATACATTCCTCCCTTCCTTGGCTTTCATTTGATTTGGAGTCTTTCGATCCCCCTGTGCAAACTGTATTTCAATTTGGCGTCCACAAATCCACTTTCTGTCCAAATTATATAAAGCGTCTTCGGCATCACGGACATCCTCAAATTGAACATAAGCAAATCCTCTTGGACGGTGCGTGTAGAAATCAAGTGGAACATACACATCAACTATGGGACCATAACGACCAAATTCTCTTCGTAAATCTTCGGACCTGGTGTCGTCGGCCACGTTCCTTATAAACAGAGACGTGTTGGAGGGGCGCAGGTATCGGGACATGATGGCAACATGAGTCGGCAGAGGTACTAACCGGCTCAGTAAACCGTCCGCGGATCCGGTTATAGAAATGATTTTTATTGGCATTATCAATGTCATGGAGGGACAGGAGCACATTTCCCTCTGCATTTGTCAGTGGAGAAAATCAGGGTCTTATATTCACTGCCCACTTCTTGACAGAACGTGCTAGCAATGTGTACACTCAGTAACTGCCAGTTGATCATAATATAATTTTCACTATTTCCTTAAACGTAAAATTGCAATCAGGAGGCCCTATGGTAGACGGCTAATTAATCTCTGAAAACCAAGCAAGTGTGTGGATTTGCCTTTGGGGGCTACTCTTCTAATCTTGTAAGAATCTGGGCCTCTGTCAGAATTAAGCACAACGTATCTCCAGGCTATATAATGGCTCCAAAATTATTTATTTATTTATTTATTTATTTATTCATTCATTCATTCATTTATAAAGATTTTATTTATTTATCAGACAGAGAGAGAGAGAGAGCACAAGCAGGGGGAGCAGCAGGCAGAGGGGGAAGCAGGTCTCCCATTGAGCAGGGAGCTGGATGTGGGACTCGATCCCAGGACCCTGGGATCATGATCTGAGCTGAAGGCAGACCCTTAACTGACTGAGCCACCCAGGCGTCCCCCAATTAATTTAAAGATTTCTTCTGTTACGGGTTTTCTGTATTACAATAACCAAAGGTCATCAAGCACTTCCTTCATATATGCACTATACAGCATTGCTGTATAGTGAACTTGTTTGATGGATATCTTCCACATCGTACACCACTGGTACTATGTGATTTCTGACACTTTTATTTTATTTTATTATGTTATGTTAGGCAACATACATTATATCATTAGATTTTTTTCTTTTTTTAAATTTTATTTTATTATGTTATGTTAATCACCATGCATCATTAGCTTTTGATGTAGTGTTCCATGATTCATTGTTGCATATTAACACACAGTGCTCCATTGAATACATGCCCTCCTTAATACCCATCACCAGGCTAACCCATTCCCCCCCCAGAACCCTCAGTTTGTTTCTCAGAGTTCCTAGTCACTCATGGTTCGTCTCCCCCTCCAATATCCCCTCCTTCATTTTTCCCTTCCTACTATCTTTTTTTTAAACATATAATGTATTATTTGTTTCAGAGGTACATGTCTGTGATTCATCCGTCTTACACAATTCACAGTGCTCACCATAGTACATACCCTCACTAATGTCTATCACCCAGCCACCCCATCCCTCCCACAGCCCCACCACTCCAGCAACCCTCAGTTTGTTTCCTGAGATTAAGAACTCCTCATATCAGTGAGATCATATGGTACATGTCTTTCTCTGATTGACTTATTTCACTTAGCCTAATACCCTCTAGTTCCATCCACGTCATTGCAAATGGCAAGATTTCAGGGGTTTTTTGATGGCTGCATAATATTCCATTGTGTATATATACCACACCTTCTTTATCCATTTATCTGTTGATGGACATCTAGGCTCTTTCCACAGTTTGGCTATTGTGGACATTGCTGCTATAAACATTGGGATGCACATACCCCTTTGGATCACTACATTTGTACCATTGGGGTAAATACCCAGTAGTGCAACTGCTGGATCATAGAGTAGCTCTATTTTCAACTTTTTGAGGAACTTCCATACTGTTTTCCAGAGTGATTGCTCCAGCTGGCATTCCCACCAACAGTGTAGGAGGGCTCCCCTTACTCCACATCCTCACCAACATCTGTCATTTCCTGACTTGTTAATTTTAGCCATTTTGACTGGTGTGAAGTGGTAGCTCATTGAGATTTTAATTTGGATTTCCCTGATGCCAAGCGATGTGGAGCACTTTTTCATGTGTCTGTTGGCCATTTGGATGTCTTCTTTGGAAAAATGTCTGTTCATGTCTTCTGCCCATTTCTTGATTGGATCATTTGTTCTTTGGGTTTTGAGTTTGATAAGTTCTTTATCGATTTTGGATACTAGCCCTTTGACAAATGACATCTGATATCTCATTTGCAAATATTTTCTCCCATTCTGTCAGTTGTCTTTGGGTTTTGTTGACTGTTTCCTTTGCTGTGCAAAAGCTTTTTATCTTGATGAAGTCCCAATAGTTCATTTTTGCCCTTGCTCCCCTTGCCTTTGGCAATGTTTCTAGGAAGAAGTTGCTGCAGCTGATGTCGAAGAAGTTGCTGCCTGTGTTCTCCTTTAGGATTTTGAAGGACTCCTGTCTCACATATAGGTCTTTCAGCCATTTTGAGTCTACTTTTATGTGTGGTGTAAGGAAATGGTCCAGTTTCATTCTTCTACATGTGGCTGTCCAATTTTCCCAACACCATTTGTTGAAGAGACTGTCTTTATTCCATTGGACATTCTTTCCTGCTTTGTCGAAGATGAGTTGGCCATAGAGTTGAGGGTCCATTTCTGGGCTCTCTATTCTGTTCCACTGATCTATGTGTCTGTTTTTGTGCCAGTACCATACTGTTTTGATGATGACAGCTTTGTAATAGAGCTTGACGTCTGGAACTGTGATGCTGCCAGCTTTGCTTTTCTTTTTCAACATTCCTCTGGCTATTTGGGGTCTTTTCTGGTTCCATACAAATTTGAGGATTGTTTGTTCCATTTCTTTGAAAAAAGTGGATGATATTTTGATGGGGATTGCATTGAATGTGTAGATTGCTCCAGGTAGCATTGTGATCTTCACAATATTTGTTCTTCCAATCCATGAGCATGGAACGTTTTTCCATTTCTTTGCGTCTTCCTCAATTCTTTCATGAGTATTTTATGGTTTTCTGAGTAGAGATCCTTTGCCTATTTGGTTAGATTTATTCCTAGGTATCTTATGGTTTTGGGTGCAATTGTAAATGGGATCGACTCCTTAATTTCTCTCTCTTCTGTCTTGTTGTTGGTGTATAGGAATGCCACTGATTTCTGTGCATTGCTTTTATATCCTGCCACTTGACTGAATTCCTGTATGAGTTCTAGCAGTTTTAAGGTGGAGCTTTTTGGGTTTTCCACCTAAAGTATCGTATCATCTGCAAAGAGTGAGCGTTTGACTTCTTTGCCGATTTGGATGCCTTTGATTTCTTTTTGTTGTCTGATTGC